CATTGTAAAGCTGGTTTTGACATGACATTTTGTACTTCTCATTGTTGCAACAGGTCCACCTGAATCCTTAAACGACTTGTTTGTCCCCGTCTCCTCCACATGTTATACTGACATCAAATATAGTGAAAGCAGGGGTTACACTGTGGGGGAGGGACATACAAAGCAACAAAGAAATAATCTTATAAATGCATTAGAAACACATGCATGAAAGAAACAAAAACATTAAAATACATATTTGAGGTTTTGTTTTCCTAACATCACATTATCTGACTTTTTCCGCTTGACTCATACCTATACTAGATATTGCAAATAAGGGAAACCATGGGACCTATGTTTCTTTGGGCCTGGCTTACTTCACTTAATATAATTTTTTCCAAGCCTTTCCATTTCCTAACAAATGGGGCAATGTCATTCTTTCTGATGGAGGCATAGAATTCCATTGTGTATATATACCACATCTTCTTGATCCATTCATCTACTGAGGGGCATCTGGGTTGGTTCCATGTCTTAGCTATGGTAAATAATGCTGCAATAAACATAGTTGTGCTGGTAGCTTTAGTGTGGCCTTGTTTGTGATCATTTGGGTAAATGCCCAAAAGTGGGATTGCTGGGTCGTTGGGGAGCTCTATGTGGAGTCTTTTGAGGAACCTCCATACTGCTTTCCAAAGTGGTTGAACAAGTTTACATTCCCACCAACAATGAAGTAAGGTTCCTTTCTGTCCACATCCCCTCCAGCATCTGTTGTTGTTAGAGTTCTTGATTTTTGCTGTTCTAACTGGAGTGAGGTGATATCTCAATGTTGTTTTGATTTGCATTTCTTTTATGGCTAGGGATGTTGAACATTTCTTCATGTGTCTATTGGCCATCCTTCTTTCTTCTTCAGAGAAGCTTCTCTTTAAGTCTTTCGCCCACTTACTTATTGGGCAGTTGTTTCTTTGAGGATTTGTTGTTGGGTGGTTTAATTTTTTGAGTTCCAAGTATATTTTAGATATACAACACATATTTTTGTTTTATAATGTTTCAGTAGTGGTTGTCATATGGCACATTTCCCTTTATGCAAATAATTAGCATACCTTGTACAATGACTTGCAATTTGAGTTTGAACCTGCTTTGGCCAAAGGTACATCTGTAATGATGACATAAACACAGATTGAGAAGTCCCTCACTTTCCTAAGTAGTCATATTAAGCATCATGTCCATTCTGCTGGAGATACAGGGCCTAATAAAGATGCAAGATAAAATGCTGGTCAGAGGAGTGACAAAATCCCAGTCAACCATCCCCAGCCAAGGCACCAGTAGATTGAAGTCTTATGTGTTACTACACAATATTAAAAGAAAAAACACCCCAAAATGGAGATCCATCAAAATTAAAACCAACAAATTATATCCCTATGTGCTTTTGCTTGTACTTATTGGTTGATTACACAGGATATTCTGTTATCGAGTAGTGATGTACTTTTTACAATTACTTAGAAAGGTAATTGTTAATATAAAATACATGACCTTTACAGTGACATATACAAAAAGTGAAAATCTATTCTGTATACATCATTGAGGTTGTTTTTGCTCAGAAAGACACTATGAATCCTTTAAAAGCAATACTTGCACATTACTACTGCGTTTTATTGTCACAAGAATGTTTTCTTACTTTGAAAAACTTAAAAGAATTTATTATAGACTAAGTGTTCACATTCACAATACTTAAGATCAGGAGTGTTACAGATTTCAAGGTGGGGACATTTTCTGTGTGTTTTGGGATTTGGACTGTCCTCATACACCTTAGTAACTGAACATCCTGCCTTGAAAATTTCAAGTTTTCTATTTCATATTATTGCATTAGAATATAATGTGAATTTTAAAAAGAGCATTGTAAGTGGGCTATCATGTTTAAGAGCTGTAATCTTAGGTATTCACAAGGCTGAGATCTGAGGAAAGTTAGTATTATCCTCACCTTTAGTCCTCAGCTCCACCCAGACCTGAGCACCTCCCAGACCTAGAGTTCCCTCCACACAGCTGGCCACTCCCTCTCTCATCTCAGACTCACCTGAGCATGTACTTAACTCACTTCCTGCCCCCCAGATCCTGTTGCAACCTGAAGAGGGACAAATGCTTGTGCTCCCTCTCCTGGGAAATATGGTTCTTCTAATAAACCTTATACTAATCTTTCTCCTGTGCCTGCTTGTGGTCCCCTGGGAAGGACATGAAGGAACCCTACAAGGATCACAGATTGAAGCCAGAGGGATATGGAAGTCTGAGAGACTTATCTCCAATAAACTACCAAAGTAGTGGGAAGTGCAAATGTGGCTTAAGTGGTAGAACATTATCATTGAACGGAATAATTTCAAGGTCAGTTTCCAGACCTTGAGTTCAAGAATCAGGACAGGCAGACACATATCAAGGGCATTTTATTGTATTCAAATTATATTTTAACAATTGTTTTTGGTATACATGTATAGGAAATCTCTCTCATTTTTTTTTTGTCGGTGTGGGGCCTGAACTCTGAGCCTGGGCACTGTCCCTCTGACCTTCAGCTCAAAGCTAGCACTCTACTACTTGAGCCACAGACACTGCTGGCTTTTTCTGCTTATTTGGTTCTGAGGAATCAAACCAGGGCTTCATTCACGCAAGGCAAGCACTCTACCACTGAACCACCTGCCCAGCCAGTCTCTCTCATTTTAAGTGATGTAAAATAGGCTAATTAAATTAGTAGAGAAATTGTAATTTGTCAGAACAGACACATCAATTGGAGTATATCTGTGCCAGCAGCATTTTGAAAGTTTCAAAAGCCATAGGAAATTCAGATGATGAAAGGAGGATCAGTATTTTTATATAAGACATTTTCAAGGAATGTTTACCATTCATTGGCTTCAATTCACAAAAAGCAAGTTAATAAAGTCACCTGGGTGAGTACCAGAATCTCTAGGTTCAGGAATATAAACGTACAACTCCTGACTCTCCTTGTCTGAAAATCAGAGGTGTGTGAGCCAATTTCTGGCACCTGGAGGAACAAGTGCTAATGGCAGCACAAACCTATGAGCCCTAAAATATCATCCACTCCAGCCTGGGGAAAAATGATAAGGGCAGACTCTTGCTAGGAGCCTCAGATCCCTTCATGTTTCAGCTCTCAAGTTCCCCTGAAAAAGAGAATCTGGGCTTCTACCTCTTGGCTCTGACTATGGTGCGCAAAGCTGTACTTCAGAGCACCTCCAGCAGCAAGACAAAAGCAAAGTAACCCGAATTTGTAAACTAAAAACACAAACAGTGGACAAGGAGGCATTGGCACATCTGCCCCCCCATCCCCCTTCCCCCCACACACTTTCAAAGGATCTATGCCCCGATAGAAACTACAATTCCCAGAATGCAATGCACAATTCACCTAGAGGAAGTGGGCTTGTTACAGGGTTTTGACTTGCACAAGACACTTGGTCCTAAGTGTGCAAGGATGCATGGGAAACTTTCTCTCCCAGCTGAAGGAACTTAGGTGAGTTTCTTCTTGAAAATTCAGTTTACCAACATAAATATTGTGAGACCAATTAAAAACACAAATATATTAGAAGCATTGTATAATTTGGCTTTTTAATTCTTAGTTCTTTTAATATAATTGAGGTTATGAATCTACATAGATTTTATTTTTGTTTTTGTTCAAAAAGAACGTTCTGCTGAATGTAAATTATGTCTCTGTTTCTTCTTAAAGTTTTGAATATCTCCCCTCTCACTTTACAAAGGTATTTGCAGCTGGGTGCCAATGGCTCATGCCTGTAATGCTAGGTACTCAGGAAGCTGAGATATGAGGATCCCTGTTCAAAGCCAGCCTGAGCAGGAAATTTCATAAGCCTTATCTCCAACTAACCACCAAAAAATTGGAAGTGGCTTGTGGCTCAAGTGGTAGAGAGCTCACTTGAACTGAAAAACGCAGGGACAGTGCTCAGGCTGGTTTCAAGCCACAAGATCGACCAAAAAAAAAAAGTTCGTGCAGAGAGTAAAAAGAATGATTCTGGCATCATCTTCCCCTGTTCTAATATATATTCTGGAATGAAATAACAGAATTTAAAAACAGATATACTTTATAATCTTTGAATTAAATTGATTTGTCAAATTCTACTCATTACTTTCCCAGAAACTCCCAAATTCTATCTATGAAATTTTAAGGAGTGTTTGGTTATTTGTGTCTGAAATTTGCCTTTCCTTATAAAGAAAATCTCTCATTTTGTTGTTGGTCCTGTGGCTTGAACTCAGAACTTGGGCACTGTCTGTGAGCATTTGCTGTAATGTACTTGTCTTTCTTTTATTAATTGCTTCAGGGAAGTAGTGAAAAATTTCCTCTCAGGGGTTTCTTAGAAAATGGTACTCCTCCTCCAAGACTGTTAAAAAAAAAATGGTTGTCTGGGAAGATCAGGATGAATGTGGGAGGAGGTAGAGTTCAGGGCAGGTCCAGGTTCATGTGAAGTTTCATTACTTGCTCCAATCCAGTCTGTTTTTACTTTTCTGTTTTGCATATCCTATTTTGTTTTGATTTTCTACCTCTTCTCTGACCCTAGAAGTTCCTGTCAGCAAGTCTAGGCCACATATCTAGGGGTCCTCAGACTTGTCTTCCCAGACTGTATCCATTACACTGTGGAATAAATCTTTTGCCTCCCTCCCTCATATCAGACATCCTAAGCTTGTCTCCTAAGGGTTTGTTGTGATTGTTGATGATCCTTTCCCCACATCATGACTGGGAAGGATTGTGTAGGAAATTTTCATGCCTGATATTCAGTCCTCCAGTGTAAGGGTTTTCCATCCCTCTTTTAGTGGACCTTAGCTATTCCTCATGAAAATGGAGATCCTGAGGCACATTTGGATGTATAGATGGCAACATTGGAGCACCTATAAAATATGAAGGAAAAAGAATTCTTTCTTTTTTTTTATGTGGCAAGTACATTTAATGGAAAGTTTTAAGAGACAAGCCTTTATTCATTGTTAAAGACAAAATGTTTTGAATTTATTAATATTTGTTACAGGAATTACTTCCCAAAAATGTTCATCACAGCTGGATTGAAAGAGTATTTGGGAAATGTGGCAACGTTGTTTACATAAGTATACCACATTATAAGTCTACTGGAGATCCAAAAGGATTTGCGTTTGTGGAGTTTGAAACAAAGGAGCAGGCAGCAAAAGCTATTGAGGTGGGTCCAAAGTGCAGTTCTCTTTTCAAAGGTAGAATTCTTTCTTTCTGTAAAAGTTAAAAGTAAGTTCCTGAGAGGCAAGGACATAAGGATCAGGTAAAAATGGGTGCTTCCTAGACTAGCTGTGTCCCATAGTTGTCATTGTTCTTGGTTACATTTTTCAAACATTCATTTCTATGTATCATGTTTATTGTACTAATATAAATAGAATTTACTTACTACATTACGTTTAATTGTTCATTGCTCACAGACGTGTCTCATTATTATACAAATATTATATCCTCTTACTTCATTGATCACAGTTATTGACTATTGCAGATCCTGAGGTAGAAGGTAAAAATATGTAAGGTATTCAGGGATAGATTATGGGTCTGACTTCCTTTGAAAGAAAAGGTGAAACAATGGAAAAAGATGGAGCTTAAGCATAACACTTGCAAAAATTCTTTGGCAGGAGATGTGGTGCATCCCTCTTGGGTTCCACTATGCCCAGCGATTCCCATGTTGTGATGATCCATCGTCCTGGAGGGCCTGTGGATTTCACATCTTGTCCACTGGTCTGGTGGTAGGAGTCTCCCAGTATGTAAGGTAGGACTGGTCTCAGAGGAGTGACATGATCAGTGGTACCTTGCTGGCTCCCATGTTTGTCAGTTTGTGTGGACAAGCTCACCCTGACAACTTGAGCCTGACTGCTGCCATGAGGCCTATTTGAACTAATGCCTCTGACCATCCCATACCTCTGTTTCAGAGACCTGTCCTGTTTCATGGTTTTGTATCATTTACTGTGCAAGCTTGTGTTATGTATCCATACATGCTAGTAGTTGGGCTGGGTATGGTTTTCAAGGGTGGGGTGGTGTTTAATGCCTTTTGCAGGAAAAATTATGTTCTCACTAACTGCATGAGTAATCCTAGCTTACTGTGCAATCCCCTTAACTTACATTGCATGTTCAGTTGATAGAACCATGCTATAATAAGTTTGGGTCTCTGTTTGCTATTGAGGTTTAGAGGACTCTTAGCCATTGCTGCAGATTTTGGGGAATATTGGTTGCCCTCATTATTGCTACCCTGACTCTTCTTGCTAGTGCTCCTGCTTCTCCTATCATCCTTGCAGAAACAATATATACACACAACATGTTAATACTTTAGTTTGAAACATTTCTGGTACCTTGGGATGCATATAGGAATGGATAAAATGATTGTGATATGTTTTATGATTTAGAAACAGCAATGATGTATGTTGATAATCACATAGACCTGCTAAAGACCCAGTTAAAATGATGTGTCATGCTAATTGTCAGTACATCTGTGTTATCCCTCTTGAATATGATGGAAATATGATTTGGACCAATATCCAGTGACGTATTTGAGGAATCTGGCCCTCTGATAATTTGAACTTAGACATTACGCAGCTTCAGGGTCAGATATCTGGTATTGGTCACTCCACCATGCAGGCTTAGCTGTATCACTTCTCCATTACCTGCAGGGATTCACCTTGGGAAATAGCACTCTTTTTGCTATTTCTTTTTTTTTTAATTTTATTATATCTTATTTGAGAACATACTGTACAGAGGGGTTACAATTATATGGGCAGGATAGTGCATACATTTCTTACCAAGCATTGCAGCCTCCTCCTTTGTTTACCCTTTACCTCCCTTCCCAGCCTCCCCCCTCCGCCCACCCAATCATACCCCCCCTCACCCCCCTCACACCGACATTGTAAAGCTGGTTTTGACATGACATTTTGTACTTCTCATTGTTGCATCAGGTCCACCTGAATCCTTAAACGACTTGTTTGTCCCCATCTCCTCCACATGTTATACTGACATCAAATATAGTGAAAGCGGGGGTTACACTGTGGGGGAGGGTTTGCTATTTCTTAGGCATTTTCCTGTTTCTTGTTTTGGTATATCTTTTTTCTTCCATTCTGCTGCTTTTTCCAGGTTCAGGCTGATAGGCACTTGCTCAATTTACAAAATGAAAAAGGGGGAAATGGTGCAGACCCTGAGGTGCCAGGAGTTGGCAAGGGGTGAGCAAAAGATCCACAACCACGGACTCCAACCTTCAGTGCTATATGTACTTCACTTTTTGTCTGGGCCTGGGTGCTTACCTCTAGGAGTTTGGTGGACAAAGGTTGAACTAGAATGAGGAAAGATGCATATGGTATGCACTTGTTGACTCAGTGAGTCCTAGAACAATGTGATGCAAGCAGTGGACAGATCTAGAAAGTGTCTATAGCTAAGGTTATTGCTGGAATAAAGAGAGATTCATCATTGGCCTTCTCTCAGTCTGTTCCATTATCATCCCATTGCCCTTCCAGAGCACTGTTTGTGTTGTGGCTGTCCCGCAACAGTGGTAGAGTGCTTACCTAACATGCATGAAGCCCTGGTTCAAGTCCTCAGTACCATATACATAGAAAAAGCTGAATGTGGAATTGTTGCTCCAGTACTAGGGTGCTAATGTGGAGCAAAAATTTTGGGACAGTGTCCATGCACTGAGTTCAAGCCCCAAGGCTGGGACATAAAAGAGAAGAAATGCAAGCTGGGTGCTGGTACCTCATGTCTTTAATCCTAGCGATTCCAAAGGCTGAAACTTGAGGATTGCAGTCCAAAGTCAGCCTGGCCAGCATTGTCTGTAGACACTTATCTCCAATAAAAACCAGAAAACCAGAATTGGTGCTTTAGCTCTAAATGTAGAGCACTTGACTTGAGATGAAGGGCTGAGAGATGGTTCCTAGGCTCACAGTTCAAGTGGCATGACCAAAAACCAAACCAAACAAAACAAAAGGATAAAGGAATAAAGAAATTCATCACAAATGTAGGCTTGAACAATGAAAACTATATTTCAGGGATGGGATGGTGGTTCAGTGGTTGAGTGCTTGCCTTGCATGCATGAGGCCCTGGTTTTGATTCCTCAGCACCACATGATAAAAAAAAAAGCCGGAAGTGGCGCTGTGGCTCAAGTGGTGGAGCGCCAGCCTTGAGCTGAAGAGCTGAGGCACAGCACCCAGGTCCAGAGTTCAGGCCCCATGACTGGACCCCCGCACCCCAAAAAAAAGAAAAAGAAAAGAAAACTGCATTTCACAGGTATTCTAGGGAGTGCCCCAGTTTTTTCCTGATCCTTATCTCTTTGTGTCTCAGGAATTTAGTTTTAGGGAGGATTTTTTTTTTTTTTTTGGTCGTGGGGCTTGAACTCTGGGCCTGAGCACTTGTCTGTCAGCTCTTCAGCTCAAGGAGAGCGATCTACTACTTGAGCCACAGTGCCACTTCCCAGGAATTTAGTTTTAAAGAATGAAATTATTTTTTCTTTATATTGTTAGAGGTGCTTTTAAGTTGAAGTCTATACATTCAAATATGCTCTTTGATTCTCATTTTCATGAGGAATATTTCTGGTCCACAATAGAGACATGGAGAACCCATACATTGGAGAACTAAAATTCATATGTGAAAGTTTCCAATCCAGTCTTTCCCAATTATTTTTTATGGAAGGGATTACAAAAAAATCACAATAAACATGTAAGAGACAAGGGTAGGTTCTCTAATAAGAGAGAGGGAGACTGTTGCAGACCCTGGGGTGCCTGCCAGGAGTAGACAAAATGTGAGCAAAGGCTTCAGGACCATTGTCTCCCACCCTCAGGACTGCAAGTCCTTGCCCTTTCTTGGTTTGAGGATGTGTGTGTTCTAGTTTTTTGGCCTGGGGCTTTAACTGACAGGAGGCTTGGGTGGAAAAGATGTATTGAAATAGAATGAGGAAAGATGTGTGCTGTTTGCATTTTTGGGCACAGTGGGTCTAGGCCAATATTACACAAGCATTTGAGACTTATAGCAGAATTGTGCCATCAGCCATCTCTCTGTCTCCTTAATTATCATCCAACTGGCTCTCAGAGCCTTGCTTGTGCTCTGATGGGATTGTGGCAGGAGACAAAGATTTACTGCATACTTTAATGGTTAAGGTCTGAGAAGACAAGTCTGAGGTCCCCTAGATATGTAGCCTAAAGCTACTGAGCGGAACTGTTAGGATCAGAGAAGAGGTAAGAATTCTAAAGAGATTTTCACATGCAAAATGGAAAGACAAAAGCATACTGGTTTGCAAATGATTAAGCTTCACATCAACATAGCCTAGCCTAAACTTCACTCTTCTATCTCTCCTGCATTCATCCTGACCCCCCTAACCACTATCTCTTTGAAGGGAAATGGAGGTGATGTGCCTTGTTCATAAGAATCCCAGTTTGGGAAATTTTCACTAGTAACCTGAAGAAATTCTTAAAGGAAATGCAAATAGAGCATAACAAATGCTCACAGACAGTGCACAAGCTCTGAGTTCAAGTCATAGGACCAACAACAAAACAAAATATAAAATCCTTAAATGAAATGCAAAATTATAAAAAAAAACAAAAACTCATTTGATTTAATAGATAGAATTGGGGAGTTTCTGGAAAATTAATTGTTAGATTTTGTGAAATCCAAATCACCAGAAGTATTATGCTGCATATTTACATAACAATCTCACTATTTTATGCCACTGTATATATTACAGCAATGGGAAATGACCCAGGTATAAGTTTAGTGGTTGTGAATACCTTTGTAAAGTAAGAGGAGATGTATTAAAAAAATTTAAGACAAAACAGAGATATAATTTACATTCAGTAGAAGGCAGGCATTGAATAAACAGAAAGGTATAAGCAACGCCGTCTCATAACCTTAATTTCATTATTAGAATTAAGAATCGAAAAGCCAATGTAGCCAATTCTCCCCATATATATCCATTTTCTGGTTGGTCTTATGTATTTCAAGAGGAAACAGTGGTTTTCAAGAAACTGAGCTTAACTTCCACAACAGGGAGAGAAAAGTCCTAATGCACACAAGCACACTTGTTCCCAGGTATGTAGGAGGGTGGCACCGAGCATTGTGGGAATTGTAGTCTCCCGGAGGCTATTTTCTTTGAAAGTCCTGGGTTGTTTTTGTTTTTTGGAGGGTGGAGGTGGGGCAGAAGATGCTTTTGCGCATGCGTCTCCCCGCCCACCACCTGCGTTTTAGTCTGCGTCTTCCGGATTCTTTTCCTTTGCCTGGCTGCTGGAAGTGTGCAGAAATACAGTTTGGCCTTCCACAGGTGGGAGCCAGGAGGCTGGCGCCCAGCTTTGTGCAGTGGAGCTTGGGAGCTGTAACTTGAAGGAATCTCAGGCTTTGGAACTGATGTCAGGTAGGAATTGTGTGATTGCTGCGGGAGTCTCCCCTCCACAGGTTTCTGTTTGTTTTTCTGTTTCTGTTTGTTTGGTGGGCGGTGAACTCTGGGCCTGCAAGCTGCATTCCTGAGCTCCTCAGCTCAGAGGGAGAGCTTGATACTTGAACCAAAGCGCCTACTTCCCTCTCCATGCTTTTCTCCAGTATGGAGTTGATAATTTGCTTGAGGTTCAAATGTATGAGAGCAAGCTGGGTGATTGTCCAGACCAGGAGAGCCCAAGAATTGTGCATTTGTACTCCAAGACCAAGGGATTCTTCTATTAACCCATATGACTTTATTTGCTTTGCCTAGGTGTAAGAGGAGTACAGGAAGAATTCTAGTGAAATTGTGAGGTGTGTGCCTGCCTTGAGTTCTCTTACATTGAAGTTGTATTTGGGGCTTCTGTGATTTTTCTCCTAGAGATATTTTAATCTATTTGGCTTGAGTTTTTAATCTCCTGGCTTGAGTTCACAAGTGTTTGTATTCGACACTGTTTCTAGAGACAGTTGTACACTGGATATTGGAGTATTGAGTGCTGGTCCTGTATTTTTAGGAATGAAGCCTAGCAATGTTTGAAGCAGAGCACCCTATGAATAGGAATCTCTATCCTAAATGAACAGACCTTGTCAATTCTGAGAAGCCCTAAAGGGAAGAAGCAGAAAAGCAAGGAAGGGGAAGATGTTGCTAGCTTCTTTTGCCTTATGCAAAAATAGTTGCTACTTCCCTGAGCACCAGATTCACGTGGAACTCTTTCCTACACCACTCTCAATCACTTTGTGTTGTTGCAAGATTAAACTAATTTCTAGGAGGCGTGATGAGCTGGATTGAGGAATAAGCCAGAGCATAGTTATGAGAGGGTACCTGAGGCTGTGCTTTGGGATGGTGGGGTAATTGTTATGACTGAAAGTATCTATTCATGTAGTAATCCCTAACCCTGTTTTTGCTAATTTATTCAGCCTGTTAACACTGTGATTTTTAGTATGTAATCATGCAAACTTACATTAAATGTGCCATCTATGGATTTGCTAATGCTAGCTCTAATTGGTTGGTTGTGCTTGGTTGTACAGAAAGTGTTGGTCTGGGACATGTGGCCTAAAAAGAAAATTCACAGAAGAAAACTTGAGGTAATATGTCTTATGCAAGTTTGTATGCTCTGTAGGTGTTACTTATCTTCAGGTGTGTCACGCCTATTTCGATTATTTTATGTTGTATCTTTAGGATGGCCAAGGTTCTTCGCATGACTGTTTAGGGAAATGAACGTTAGGGACTTTTCAAACCTGGGTTTACCTCATCTTTACTCATGTCCCTTTGGACAAAGCATTTTAAATGGCAAATTGCTAATCATTGCATATGTGTGCAATGGGTAGAGTGAAATGTGCCATTTGACATCCATTATTGAAGTAGTATAACATAAGAAATATATTCTATATACATTTTTCTCTCTAACTTTGGGGGGAAATTACTGAGTTACATCATACATGTTATTCACGGTGTTTAAATATGTAAATGAATGAGGTAGAACACAAATTACAATGGATTCCTATGATACTTTTGTATTTAAAAAGCAGTTCATGGGCTTGAAAAGTGGCTCAGTGGTAGAGTGCTTGCCTTGCATGTATGAGGTCCTGGGTTCGATTCCTCAGCACCACATAAGCAGAAACCGCTGGAAGTGGTGCTGTGGCTCAAGTGGTAGAGCACTAGCCTTGAGGTAAAGAGCTGAGGGACAGAGCCCAGGCCCAGAGTTGAGGCACCTTGAATGGCAAAAAAAAAAAAAAGGAAAATAAAGTACTTCATACATCCCTAAGTATATTCAGTAATAATAACTTTTAGTGGAAATATGTGTTTTTGCTTTCAATTATTCAATAATTCCAGTGGGGCCATTCATTTCTTTGAATTTAGTGTGTACATAAACATAGAAATTAGTTGCTTTAATAATATCTATCTAACAGGAAATTGACTGGATTTGTTTATTGGACACTTTAATGCTCTGCCTGAGACATTAAAGATTCTTTGCTTATAAGAAGGCTTTACTTTTTCAGGTAAAAATAAATAAAAATTTTAAAAACAGTTTACGGTTTTGCATCCCATGTATCATGTTTGCAAGAGGAAATTCTGGGCCCAAAATCTCACAGATTCATTTCTGAATGCATCATTTCCCTTATATCCCAGCCATGTTTCCAGAATCTTCTGCTCGTTGTCAGCAGCAAGACAGAATGAATGGATCTCTGGTAAGTAGTTTTATTATTTTTCATTTGTTTTCCATTCCATTATATGAACCTAAAGATGTCCAAGAATTAAAAACAATACCAACCACACAGATTCAGCCTCAGTACCATTTTCATAAATCAGATAAAGAAGGCTTGTAAATTAGCAGATAAGGATTGCTTGTAGGTTTAGCAGATCAAATGGTTATATTCTAAGTTGAATTCAGATTAGCTTCAGAATGTCTAGGTATCATCTTGTCATAAAATGTAGTCCTACCTGTTATGTGATGTAATGACACCAAGCAGGTTACTTCTCATGGAAAGTGAAGGATAGATTGCCACCAGATCACTTCCTCATGAGTAACATTAAACTATCTCAATGAAATTTTCTTGGAATTGCTGAAATAGTGTGGTCATACATACCTTCATGTGTTCTTAAGGAATGATTAACCTAAATGTACTTACATTACTCTGCATATATAGTTCTTGGACTGCTTCATGGTCTTGGTCTTACTTGAAACTTCGCCTGTATTTGTTGCTAAGCTTTATGGTCTTTCTACAAATTCCTGTTTGTTTTCTAAAGTATTCTGAAAAGATTTCTTTCCTCTATTTTCTCTCTCTACTTTTTATTTTCTTTTTTTTGTTGTTTTTTTTGTCGGTCGTGGGGCTTGAACTCTGGGCCTGGGTGCTGTCCCTCAGCTCTTCAGCTCAAGGCGAGCGCTCTACCACTTGAGCTACAGTGCAACTTCTGGTTTTCTGGTGGTTTATTGGAGATAGGAGTCTCACGGTCTCTCCTGCCCGGGCTGGCTTTGAACCGCGATCCTCAGAACTCTATTTTTGATTTTCTACTCGCTAGTGTTGGTTATTTTTCTCTTTCACTCTCTTTGTATCTAGCTTTCTATCATTTTTTTCTTTTTTCGTTCCCTCTTTCCTCCATATGTGTCTCAGTTGTTTCTTTTCTTCAAATGATCTATCTGGAACAAGATTTTCGTAGTGATCAGCTTTAAGTTGCTGACATGCCTCTTAGGATTGACATTTTTCTTACCAGTAGTATAGGAAAATTATTGCCTAGAGAGTTCTACAGGATTCCAGAAACAAAGAAAAGTAGAGACACACAAAAACACAAACAGATAGACGTACGGGAAACCAGGGTTCCAAAGGCTCTCTGGCACTTTGTCCCTGGGCGCCAGAAAGCTCCTATAGTTCCTTGAGTGCACACTGGGAAGATTACCTTTGATAACATGCAAAAATGAAGTATCTGCCAGGTGTTGGTGGCTCACGCCTGTAATCCTAGCTACTCAGGAGGCTGAGATCTGAGAATCGCGGTTCAAAGCCAGCCCGGGCAGGAGAGACTGTGAGACTCCTATCTCCAAATAACCACCAGAAAACTGGAAGTGGCGCTGTGGCTCAAGTGGTAGAGCACTCGCCTTGAAGAGCTAAGGGACAGCGCCCAGGCCCAGAGTTCAAGCCCCACGGCCGACAAAAAAAAAAAAAAAGAAGTATCTATATTAATAGTACAATCAGAGCCATAACAGGTTGTGAGGAAAACATGTTTCCTTATTCTCCTGAGACAGAAGACTGTCGCCCAGAGAAAATGCAGACATGGAGGTCACCTTACCTAACCTTCAAGGTCAACAGCACCTCAGTTTCAGATGCTATCTTTCCAACAGTAAGGAAAAGGCCTGCACTCCAGTCTCTTAACCCTCTCCAGAATTCTCTTTTAAGCCTTCTGCAGCCAGCTCTCACTTGTCTCAGTGCTGTCAGGCTGGAATTCCAACTTCTCAAACCTTTTTCCCTTCAGCCAACTTCAGAGTTCCCTACAGAAAAGTACTTCCTTCTACCAATTGATACACTACAAGAAAATCTGTTTTCTCCTGATTTTGTGTTGGTCTAACTTCATTTGATGTGGTATTTAATTTTGTTTTTCCATCCCACTACTGTTGAATATTTTAATTCACTGCCAGTATAAGATTGGAACTAGTGTTTAAAAAAAAAAATAATACAGTGACAAGATGTTCTCAATTAGAAATATCACTTGCCGCAAAATCTCACAGATGTTTGCTCACTAATTGATTTTGATCTCTGAGGTATTTCACTATTAACTAACACAAGTGAAAATATATCCTTAGAGATACTCTGGAGAAAGGATTCAAGAATATGTGATGCGTTTGAGCATTTGGTCATATTTATCATTTTTGTCATCTTGAGTGTCCCTTGAGCCTCTCTATATTTGCCTTCACCTTCCATGAAGGCCTATTAAAATGAAAACCTTGTCAAGGAACATTTTTTTCCCTCCCACCTATATTTTGTATTGTAGAATGTAGGCAAAGTTGACAAAATTTCATGGTAGCAGTTCTTTTCTACATAAGAAGGAAATATCAGGGTATCTATGACCACATTTCAATATTTAGCATTTAAACCAAACATGGTAAACCACGGATATTTTTATGTGGGAACTCAATTAAATCTTATAAGGGCCTAATCAATCATTAGTTACTTTCTGGAGTACTGTTCCTGTTTTTTGAACATTCATGTGGACACTGCTTTTCATAGATCTAGCAATGCTCTATGTTCTGTATTCCATGTGATATTCTGAATGTGTGCTGCTTGCTTTTGAGAGTACTTGTTAATAGAAGGTCTAAATAGGATTTATGGTGAAGCAGTATGTGTAAATGCAGGAAAAATATTGGTTTAATTCATTTTTACCCTGGTATGTACTGAAATTTTATCAAAAATGATAATATAATTTTTCAGACACCTCCTTAGACTTAATGTTATCATGCCAGATTATTGTCTCCTTAGAGATTTTATCTTGTCTCTACTGCTAGCAGCAGAAATGTGATTGCATGTATTATGGAAACTGTAATTTTTTATTGGTCTTGGGGCTTGAATTCTGGGTCTGGTTGTTTTCCCTCAGCTCTTCAAGTCAAGGTGAGTGCTACCACTTGAGTGACAGTGCTACTTTCATTTTCTGGTGGTTTATTGGAGATAAGTGTCTCATGGACTTTCCTGACTGGGCTGGCCTTGAACCTTGATCCTCAGACCTCAGCCTCCTGAATAGCTAGGATTGCAGGTATAAGCCACCAGCGCCCCACAAATCTGAGTATTTTAATGACCAGGTTTATGTATTGTCAAATATTTCTAGTTTGGTATTTAATTCTCCCAATGAATAGATAACAAAGGTAGCTGCAAACATTTTATGTAAGACAAAAGTATACATGCAGCATAATGAAATTCCAGGTTGGAATTCTCATAACCCAGGTCTAATTTCTTGATGGAAATGTGCCATTACAGAAGCTGGTGTCATTTGATGATGTGGCTGTGGACTTCACCTGGAAGGAGTGGCAGGATCTGGATCCTGATCAGAGGACCCTTCATAGAGATGTAATGCTGGAGACCTATAGCAACCTCATGTTCTTGGGTGAGCAAAGGTTATTTTTACTTGGAAGATCAAGTGCTTTTATTTTATTTATTTTTATTTTTTATTTTTTGGGTCCGGTCGTGGGGCCTGAACTCTGGGACTGGGCACTGTCCCTCAGCTCTTCAGCTCAAGGCTAGCGCTTTACCACTTGAGCCACAGTGCCACTTCCGGATTTTTTCTTTTTGCTTATGTGGTGCTGAGGAATCGAACCCAGGGCCTCATGCATGCAAGGCAAGTGCTCTACCACTGAGCCACCTTCCCAGCCCCGAGTGCTTTTATTTTAGTAGACGTTAGACTATGTTACTTAGGGAGAAGATTCCAGTCCATTCCCAGGTAAAAAACTGCTGGTATAAAAGCCAGTCAAATTTGAGTCTGAGAGCTTGGTGTTGTTTGTCTTTCACACTAGTGCTTGAGCCACAATTCTATTTTCACTTTTGTTTTGGGGTATATTCTGTGTTTCCGTGCCCAGGTTGGTTTCAAACCTGCCTCTTCTGATCTCACCTCCTAAATATAGGATTACAGGTGTAAGCCTTTGGACCATTACATTTTCAAAAAAAAGATTGCAGGCCATGGGAAGTGTCATTTTTTTCTAAGGGAAACTTCAACTTCATTATATGTAACACAAGAGCTAATTTTATTCTCGTTTTTTAAGAAGGCAAATCAGTATTTGGACAATAGTTCTAAGCTATGATCTACTAATAGGAGACTGACTTCCTAGACTTGGGTAATTATTATAGGTGGATCTAGAGTCTAGAATAGAACATACATTACTACTGACAGTATGCTCTGGAAATCAGTAGGTGAAAGTGTGTATTTGTAAACCAAACCTGATACAGGGTTTAGTGGTTCAAGCTACAAATCCTAGATACTCCGGAGGCTGACATCTGAAGGTTTCAGTTTGAAACCAGCAGCTGTAAAAAGTTGACCATGAGACTATCTCCAATTAACCATTCAAAAACTAGAAACGTAGTGAAGACTCAAACTAGTAGAATGCTAGCTTTTAGCAAAAGAGCTGAGTTCAAGCCATGCAGTTGGCAAAATAAACCCAAAGGTGGATTCTACTCCACAATGGAGCAGTTAAGAATTGAGAAACCATGGGTTTGGAAGTTGGCTCAGTGGTAGAGGAATTGCCTTCCATGCATGAGTCCCTGTGTTCAATTCTTCAGCAGCACATAAGCAGAAAATAAAAGCCGGAATTGGCATTATGGCTCATGTGATACAGTGTTAGTCTTGAGCTGAAGATCTGCCGGACAGTGCCCAGGACCAGAGTTCAGGTCCCACAACAAGACTGCCCCCACAACAACAATTGAGGAACCATATTTAGGAGCAACCTTGTGAACAGGATGTCTGCGACCTTATGTTAATGATGACCAGCACGACAAATTGTTCTCCACTGTTTCTTATTCATAGGGCTCTGTGTACCTAAACCAGAATTGATTGTGAGGCTGGAGCAAGGTTCAGAACCATGGATAAGAGAAGCCTCAGACAAGAATTTCACAGGTGAGTTAAAGCATTTACAATGCTAATGATGGGTCCAGAGCCCAGTTGATCTGTTTATCTTGAGCTGTACAGAGCAATAGTATTCTTGTCAATCCAGAATTCACTGGGGACAAACTGAATTTGGTGTGCCATTGTAGTTAATATTAGCAACTCTCCTTGTCTGTAGAGAAGTCATTGTTTAAGAGAAAAAGACAATAGGACATGTACAAAAGGAGATCTCATTTTCTTTTAAACTAGTATTATGCAGGTAGGAGGAAAATAGGAGAATGGTAGTGCTGCTATTCTCTCATCAGGACAATAGCTTATGAGTTGTGCTGGGCATAGAGTGACATTCAGAATGGAAGCATTAAGAGTATGTAGATGAACAATTTGAGTAAATATTTCCTAGAAAAAAATAGAAAAATCTGAAATACAGAAAAACATTATTTTCCATTGTAAAATGTCAGTACTACATTCATAGTTAGTATGTTGCAGAGAAAAGTTTATATTCTGCAGAAAACAATGCTTTGATATTTGAAAATCTTGTAACACTTAAAATGTGAGAAAATACCTTTACAGTAAGGAATTTATGGACTTCATTTATGTTTTTGTCTATTTTTCTGTTATGCATTTTAGATGTCCCACAAATGGAGGATGTGATTAGCACCTGTCAGGAAAGTCACAATAAATATCTCTCTGAAGTAGCAGTCATGAATAGTAACCCAGGGGAGGAAAAAGTGAGACTTATAAAAAGTTTTAATTTGAGCTCAAAACAGAAGTCAGAACTGATTAAGAATAATGTGAACTCCTTAGGAATGAGGACAGAAAAGGTCACTGGGAATCAGAACATGAGTGTTTTCAGTGAACCTGGTAAGATGTGTGCTGTATATAGTCCTCATTTGTCTTCTATAGTTGAAGAATATAAACAATATAAAAGGTCTTTCACCGAGAAGACACACCCTATTGTCCCTCAGAGAACATACACAGGAAAGAAACCATATGAAAGTAAAATGTGTGGAAAGATTTTCACCAGTAAGGCATATCTTACTGTCCATGAGAGAAGACACCAAAATGAGAATCTTTTTGAATGTAACATGTGTGAAATGTCTTTTACCTTGAAGTCAAACCTAACTCTCCACCAGAGAACGCACACAAGAAAGAATCCTTATGAATGTAACATTTGTGGAAAGTCTTTCACCTGGAAGTCAAACCTCACTATCCATGAGAGAACACACACAGAAGAGAAAACTTATGAATGTAACATGTGTGGAAAGTCTTTCGCCAAAAAGGCATGCCTTACTATCCACCAGAGAACACATACTAGAGAGAAACGTTTTGAATGTAACATCTGTGGTAAGACTTTCACCCAGAAATCAAAGCTTACTGTCCACCAGAGAACACACACAAAAGAAAAACCTTTTGAATGTAACATGTGTGTTAAGTCTTTCACCCAGAAGTCAACTCTCACTGTCCATCAGAGAATACACACAGGAAAGAAACCTTATGAATGTAACATGTGTGGAAAGTCTTTCATCCAGAAGTCAGAGCTTACTGTCCACCAGAAAAGACACACAGGCGAGAAACCTTTTGAATGTAACATGTGTAAAATGTCTTTTGCCTGGAAATCAAGCCTTACTGTCCACCAGAGAACACACACAGGAAAGAAACCTTATGAATGTAACCTGTGTGGAAAGTCTTTCACCCAGAAGTCACACCTTATTGTCCACCAGAGAACACACACTGGAAAGAAACCTTATGAATGTAACATGTGTGGAAATTCTTTCACCAAGAAGCCAAACCTTACTGTCCACCAGAGAACACACACAGGAAAGAAACCTTATGAATGTAACGTGTGTGGAAAGTCTTTCACCCAGAAGGCACACCTTACTGTCCACCAGAGAACACACACTGGAAAGAAACCTTATGAATGTAACGTGTGTGGAAATTCTTTCACCAAGAAGTCAAACCTTACTGTCCACCAGAGAACACACACAGGAAAGAAACCTTATGAATGTAACGTGTGTGGAAAGTCTTTCACCCAGAAGGCACACCTTACTGTCCACCAGAGAACACACACTGGAAAGAAACCTTATGAATGTAACGTGTGTGGAAAGACTTTCACCCAGAAGGCACACCTTACTGTCCACCAGAGAACACACACAGGAAAGAAACCTTATGAATGTAACATGTGTGAAAGGTCTTTTACCTGGAAGTCAAACCTTACTGTCCACCAGAGAACACACACAGGAAAGAAACCTTATGAATATAACGTGTGTGGAAAGTCTTTCATCCAGAAGCTACACTTTACTGTCCACCAGAGAACACACACGAGAGAAACCTTATGAATGTAACATGTGTGGAAAGTCTTTCACCAAGAAGTCAAACCTTACTGTCCAACAGAGAACACACACAGGAAAGAAACCTTATCATGTAACGTGTATGGAAAGTCTTTCACCCAGAAGGTACACATTACTGTCCATTAGAGAACACATACAGGAGAGAAACATTATGAATGTAACATGTGTGGAAAGTCTTTCACCAAGAAATCAAACCTTACTGTCCATCAGAAAACAAACACAGGAACGAAACCTTATGAATGTCATATGTGTGGAAAATATTTCAGCCAAGAGCTCCAAGTTACTGTCCATCAGGCAGCACACACAAGAGAGAAATTTTATGAATGTAAGCTATGTGGAAAGTCTTTCACCCAAAACATACACCTTTCTGTCCATCAGAAAAAACCCCACCAGAGAGAAATGTTATGTATATAGCAGGCATGGAAATTCTTTCACCTGGAAGGCACACCATAACATCCATCACAGAACACAAGGAGAGAAACCTTATGAATGCAACCAGTGTGGAAAGACCTGGAGGTCATAGCTTAACACACATAAGTTGATTCACACAAATGAAATAACTTAGGATTGTACCAAATGGGAAAGTCTTTGATCTGTAAGAAAATTAAAATTGCAATACAGAACCTATACAGGATAGAGACCTTATGATATAGCACATGTGGAGTCCTCTAACTACAAGATACAACTCAGGGTTCATCATAGAACACACAAAACACACAGACACACACACACACAAACACACAACCTCACACTCAAAGAGGAGAGAAATCCTATGTAGCAAAAATTAATGGAAAGGTTTTCAAGAAACAGTCCTAACTCAGTTTGCATCAGAGAACAGACACAGGTGAGAAAATACAAATGTAACAATTGTGGAAAGTCCTTTACCAAGTATTCATGGATCCAAGTTCATAGGACACACAGCAGAGTAATCTTAAAAATATTACAAATGTGGAAATCCTTTGATCCGAAAGGAATACCTCATGTTCATCAGAGAACTGACTCACATAGGAGAAAAGAAAGTAGTGCATAGATCATACGTGAAATGACTTTCAATCAGAACTGAGTCCTCAGCATATGTGAGAGCATAGACAGGTAAGAAATTATGAGTATAGAAAACATTTTGCCAGGAGTCAAATCTGAACAGGTATTAGAGACCTGGACACATGACAGAATCTCTGTAAATATAAACATGAGAGGAAGTCTTTCAACCAGAAGACAACCCTCAGCAAGTATTAGAACATTCACCCAGGAAAGAAACCCATTGTAGGAAAATCTTTGTCAGAAAACCTGTGTAAATTATACAGAGAAATCCTTCATCGCAGAGATAAGCTAGGTGTGATGGAAAACCATTCTTCACTCTTCAGCTCTCTTTGAGCCAACATTTCTCACATTTTCATCGTGTTGAGTGGGGATGGTGTCATTCAATATTATCCCAACATGTGGAAATGACCAGTTATAACAAGTAATTCAGAGATTGAAGTTATTAACTTGCATCTTTTATAATAAGGAATGGTATGTTAGGGTAATTTGATAATCTCTTCTAAGAAATATGAGGTCTGTCCCTTTGGGACTGGATTCAGATCATCCCCAACATGGTTAGGGGAACAATAGTTGAGTGAAGACTGTTCTGATTGGAGGCAAGAACATGAGAACAACTTTTTTTCTATTGCTCCCTTAAGTCCCCCTCTATTTGTGTGATCCAGCATTACTGTACAAATGACTAGCTTATTCAGTGATTGAATGGAAGATCTACTGGAAGATATTAGTCCTTATTGCAGTACATACATAGTAGTAAATTTTTTCTCGGAGGGGTAACAATGCTCGATAGGAAATGTATTCATGACCTAATTCATATAATTGTATAACCAATTTGTACAGTATCTTTACAATAAAATATATATTATAAAAATATGGTGGATTTATAAAGACAAGAGTCTCAGCATTTTGCCTTGGGGGAAAACCTCAAAATATCTTCAGTGCTTGCTGTTTTATTTAATTAATCACTGGTGATGAACAATCACTGGTGATTGATTCACTCTTAGCCCATTTAGTTGTTTTGCTGAGTGAGCTATAATAAAACACCAGTGTGAATGGTGTGTCGCAACTGTGTTATCTCATAGATGGCCAATGTAGATATGACATTAGTGGAAATAATCAAGCACACAAAGATATTAATCTCACAAAAATTGAAATAAATACTATCTGCCACTTGAGCTACCGCATCACTTCTGGGCCCTGAGAGGAAGGAAAGAAGGAAGGAGAGAAGTGAGAAAGGGAAAGAGGAAGGGAAAGAATGAGGAAGAAGTAAGAAATAAACTATTCAAAAGAAGAATGTTTAATTTTTGGTGAATGGGAGAATTATTCTTTCAGAGGTATGGCTCAAGAAAAATGGCTTTTACAAAAAGCAAATTCTTGAATTGTTTACAGAACGATAAAGAGGATTTTATAAATTGATTTAATATTCAGTAATATTAAGTAAGGAGGTCAGGTGTGGCTGGTGCCCTATTGGCCACATGGTGGACAGTGGGGTCTGACATCTTGTCTTCATGCAGGGTGAAGGAAATGCCCCATCCATCACTTGCCTCCCAAATGATGGGTGTGGCTGGATCCCTGGAAGCAGGCATGGACATTTGTCTGATATGTTACTCAATCTGTTAGTTCAGT